GGGACGTCCTTTGTCTGTCCAACGGCGTGGGAGAGGCAGTGATTTTTAAGACAAAGTCACTTATTTTTATTATGCTGTTTGGAGAAATTGTCTTATTAAAGTGTGTTTTTTTTGCTAATTATTAATCGTATATTAACGGTACAAAATTCTTAAATTCAGTTCAATAAAGTGACCAAAATACTTATTTTAAGAAATCTATTTTAAATAAAGAAGTTTTCATTGCTTGTAATAACCTCAACTTGCTTACATTTTTTACCATTTTTCTAGTTTTAATGTCCATTACAGTCTTTCAGGGGCTACATTTTTATGCTCGGTTAAAGAATTCTAGCAGAGCATTATATTTAAAATGTTTTACGAGTTTCTAGAAGGGCTGTTTTTATGGTGTTCAAGGCCTGATGGATTCTTGCGAATGTCACTAGGAGCACTAGAACGAACCAGAAGAACCAGCTTTTTTCACTGATTATTTGTCTCATTTACTACAGTCAGGATATCGAAAAAGTTTCAGGAAATATGACAAAAAATGTTTTTATAAAACTTACCTAGTGCAGATTTAACAGCAGGAAAATCCTCTTGGGGGACATTGTGTAAGTTTAATGACTATCAGTGCTCCAAAATACATGAACAACTGTTTTGGAAATTATCTGTTGAATTAGGTGTAGTAATAATAAATGTCCAAAAGGTGGAGCCAAATAGTTTTAAAGTAAGCCTCAGATTCTAAATTAGACTAATGGAAACTGCATAGACAATAAAATGTCAGTCTGAGAACTAAAAGGTATTGAATGGAATCACATAACCACATACTGTAATTAATGGTTTGAGATCAATAGAATAATTTCTATATTTTCTATAATTGAACATGAATTTATCCTAACAGAAACTCTGATTGCTACATTTTTCCTCTCTCACTAAATGCTGTCATTATCTGAATGTCTCCGATCTTTGACCTCTCACCTGGTTTTCTTGACCTGGATGCTGCTGCTCAGCTTCTCCAGTACGAATTCCCCGGTGTCATGGTTGATGATGAGCACACAGTCCTTCTGGTACGGCCGCTTGTTTCCTTTGAATACCGTCATGGGAGGCGTGGAGCCCTGGAAGGACAACAATAACCTCAATATGTACTGAATGTACCAAAGCTTGTCGCGATGTCTCCTTCAATACCAAAAAGAAAAGGTTGAAGGTCCAACACACTGTGCTGGTACAGAAAAAGTTACTCAACACACACCAACACATTTGATTCATCTCGCTATGGCAGAAGTTTCGTCCCTTCTGAAAAAGCATTACTCAACAAAACTCCCCGGTAGCTGTTATGTGTGGTAACAAATTTCCTGAAAAGGACAATAAAGAGGTTATATGTGTATCCTACCGTGCAGCTGTTCTGTGTCGTGTATTTGAAGTAAATTGAAAACCAGAGTCACATTCCTTCAATGTATCAACATACTTGGCCAATAAAGTGGATTCTGATTAAAATGATTTTGAACGTGTGTACTTGTGCCAGTTCTTCTACGAAAAACACTTTATGACATGTTTAAAGAGGTTTCACATGAATTTAACTTTGTTGTAAAATCTCAGAAAGTCTGAGATCAGACCGCTGCACTGATTCAATTTACAATATTAGGGGAACTGCAAGAAATTCTTACTACATAAACATGTCAGATGAAGTAAAAGTAATGGGCAACAAACTATTTAAGTATTCTTTTAATTGTCTCTAGCAGTTATAGTAATTTAGGGCACTCTGTCTGTATGACCTGTCCACATTTGAGGGACAGTAATAGCAACTTTTCATGTTTTACCCCATTATTTTACAAAGGCTACCATAGGTTCTTAGACTGATTTCCTACAGACAGTTACTGTGTTTCAGTTCACTAACATTCGCTAAGAAAATCGACCTGTAGTCAACCCATCACAATGGACATTTAACCACATTTGTTTCAAACCAAGGCTGTGTTATCAGCATGTTTTAATGAAGCTGAAGTTTGTTTTTAAAAATCATCCTTCATGTTGTCTTCATGAATGCTTCAACATCCAAAACTAAACAGCAACCTTTTTAATTCACAACAATTCATACAACAGCAACATTTGCTCAAAAGTATTGCGAGTAAAGGGTCGGTGAAAACGTGTCGGGTGAATTTAGAATCACTTAAACCAGAGGAGAAGCGCAGACGGTCTTACCGGGATGTGAGGTAACGTTATGGTAACTTCGTCTCCTTTCCCAACTTGTAGCTCTCCCTCACAGCTTGTGTCGATAGATGCTGGTTTAAAGTCATCTGAAAAGGACGGACATTGATTAGACGTAAATCATGAGGACAAAAACCAGAAGTCTCCTGCACAGCATTACTGGGTCGGACGCCGTTCAAATGCAACTTTAACTTTGTGTTATACAAGTTATATAACTGTATATGTATTATAACTGCTGTCAGACTGTGTGTGCAGCGTAGGGCCTGACAGATAATGGATTTTTATGGCTGCTATTTATATTTGAAAGTTAAAAAAATCTGATCATAATGAAAAAGCCTTTTTCTTCTTTAAAATAAAAGATACTTTTTTTTTTTACAACATTTCTGGTTCCTTAAATGTGTTTGTTGTTTGTAAGACTTGTGACCATGATATGTACAGAAAACACACAGTTGAACAATAAACAGACGGACAAACAATGGAATAGTAACACTGTTTATAAACATATCTGACATTTCTGTAACGCAATCTCTTCCGTCACCTTCTGCACGCCAATCAGTTTATCTTACTTCCATTACTGGCGCTGTAGTGCAAAGTGATCGTAACTCTGCTTCACTGCACAATAGGGCTGCGACTAATGATTATTGGCATTATTGGTTAATCTGTTGATCATTTTATCAATTAATCAATTAGTTGTTTGTTCCATAAAATGTCAGAAAATGGTGAAAAATGTAGTTCACCGTTTCCCACAGCCCAAGGTGACGTCCTCAAATGTCTTGTTGTGTCCACAACCCAAAGATATTCAGTTTACTGTGATAGAGGACTCAAGAAAACACAAAATATTCACATTTGAGTAACTGAAATCAGAGAATTTGGTCTTTTTTTGACTCAAAACAATGAATCTATAATCAATAGAGCTGGCAATCGACCATGAATCGACTAACTGTTGCAGCTCAATGTCAGTTGAGATTATGGACGGTGAAGACAATAATAAACGAGTCGCAGAGAGAGTAACACACATCCTTGTCACGCTCAATCACAGTGAGGAAAAGAAAGTACACACAGCAGCTGTTATCAATATTAATTATTAACAGTTAGTAAAGACACAAGGCGAGCTTGTCACAAGTAAATGAGAGTAAAAGATTCTCAAAAAGAGCCAAAATGCACATTTTTACTTACAATAATACAATATTGTAATATAATATACAACGATATTGTACACGGAGCTCTTGGTTTCATGGTTTTTATCACAGCTATGGTTTCATCCACTTACAAACTCAACTCTGGACCAACTTCTTAGAGTTTATTTAAATATTTCAAGTGCAAAAAAAAAAGTCTTATTCTCTAAAGACCTCACAGAAATGTACAAAACTAACTTCTATTTCATCATAATATTTAGTTTACTAACCTTTATTTATATTTTTTTCCATAAAGGAAGACAAATACAGTACATAATCATACAAGTAATATATAGTAACATATATAGTAATATTCACACTTATCTAAAACCTGAGTTTTCACAAAACTAATATATATATATCTATATATACTAAAGATATTTTAACTATGCAAACAACTTAATTTACTTCTCCACATAACTGGCTGTTGTGTAAGAGGACAGCAGCTCAGTTTACACTCTGAGGCACAAACTTCTCATTCAACACTTGAAGTCTCCTTTATTCTCCTTTATTCTCCTTTATTCTCCTTTATTCTCACTCACATCTGATGGTGTGAAAGGAAGATTTTGGCCTCTTCTCGAAGCTTTCTCCGAGCTTCAAAACATGCTCCTCTTTGTCCAGCAGCGGGTTCGTGCTCCCGTTCATGTCTCCGTTTCTTCTCGAGCTTAACTGAAGGGATATTCCACAGAGCCGAGCTGCATCTGGCGACTTTCCCGGAGATTTGGGGAAATAAGAAATCAACTAAAAGACAAAGTTAGCCTGCTGTGGCTAACCGTTAGCACAACATTCCCTGTCGTCACTCCTCTTCCGCTTTGGGTGCGGCTGGCAAATGTCGCCGAAGAACAAATCACCATAGCAACTCTATTTTTTTTTTTTTTCTCGATTAAATATATAAAGCTGAAAACAAATAAATCGTTATTACACTATTTTTTATTCAGTAAGTAACTAGCGATGGTTTTATTAACGCCACAGTAAGAAACTGAATTAAATTGTGAATGCTACCCGGAAAGATTTAAATGACGGACAACATGGGCGTCAAATGTGGAAAATGTAACTAAGGTGCAAAATTTTTAAAACAATAAGTTAGTTTTAGCGTTATTTATAATCTAAATAACTCAAGTTGCTGTAAGGTTTGCTGAAATGTTTGCTTTCCCACACATTTACGATTAATAACGTCTGCAAAACCGAGAGGACGCGTAATAAAACGAAGCTTTCTAACAGCCTCATGGCACTGTCAGAAGATGAAAGTTTCCCTGGTGATATTAAAATGACACCTACTGAAGAAGAAGTGGGGTCGAAAGACGAGTGTGTCTCCAGAGTTTTAACCCAGGAGGAGCAGGAGAGAGTCGGCGGGGAGCGGGCTCTGGTGTCCGGCTTCAAACAGATGAAGTTGGAGAAAGAAGCTCAGAAAAACTGGGACTTGTTTTACAAAAGAAACACAACAAACTTCTTCAAGGACAGACACTGGACCACCAGAGAGTTTGAAGAGCTCAAGGCTTGCAGAGAGGTGAGAGGGCAGCACTCCCAACACAAGTTACATCCCAACAGGCCACATATTATTACATTTTGTCCTCTTCAACCCTACTTGTAGTCATGTTAGTATTACATGTGCTTGATTAATGAGTTGTATAACTTCTATGTGGGTTTAAAATAGCCTCAAACATGTTTTTTTTTAAATGTTTTATTCATAAAAAAACAAAAATTACTTTGTTTGATAGAACATAAAATGAGACATTTTAAAATTGGAAAGTTTTAGCATCTAGATAATCCATAAATGTAAATCCTTACATTAACATTTTACACCTACTGCTGTGATTTTTGTGAATAAATGATGATCCAGTTACAAAATGCCTTTCTCAACTTTCTCCTTTTTAAATGCAGCAAAAGAAATTACACTAAAAACATCAAAATGTCATTTAAATCTGTGCAGGATTACATGTGAATAAAGGGATGAGCAGATATTTGTGGATATGAAATAGTTCTGTCTTTGTGCTGTTTGGTTTGCAGTTTGAGTCCCAGAGGCTGGTGCTGCTGGAGGCGGGCTGCGGTGTAGGAAACTGCATCTTCCCTCTGCTGGAGGAGGACCTCAACATCTTTGTTTACGCCTGTGACTTCTCACCACGAGCTGTTGAATTTGTCAAAGTACGATATCTAATACACAGACCTGTGAATCATCTGTTTCTGTTTTTACTGCCAGTACAAACTCGGTCTTCTACTGTTGGCTGCTGAACAGTTCTGCTGGAGGATTTGATGGCTTAACACTCTCCTGAAGGGCTCCTTTAGGAAACATATAGGAAGATATTTTATCACTTGTAATTGGTCACACGCCTCCTCCTTTCTAAAAGATTATGGCTGAGCTCAGCTGCTGCAGTAGCTCATAACAGTGGAAAAACTGGGTGTACAGGACAGTTTTCAAGTGAAGGCAAAACAGAATCAGGTCAGCAGATCTCCTCCCAGTGATGACATAATAATAGTGATACAAATAAAACTACTTTATCTGCTTTTTGTGTACAGCAAAACCCTCTGTACTGCCCTGAGCGCTGCTGTGCCTTCCAGTGTGATTTAACTAAAGATGATCTGAGGGAAAATGTGCCCGAGGGCAGCGTGGACGTCATCACTCTCATCTTCGTCCTGTCGGCCATCCACCCTGACAAGATGAAGCTGGCTTTGCAGAACATCAGCAGGGTGAGAGCAGACACAGATCAATTCTTTTTAACTTGTGTACAAACAAATGGCACAAAAGATTGATGTTTTTTTAATGTGGCTGCTAAGGTTCGAGGCAGTTACTTACCAGCATGTGTCTGGTGGTAACTCCCTAATACAAGCTGGTTCGGACAGTGTAATGTGATGTAATGTAATGAATGTCCTTGTGGCTTTAAGGTGCTGAAGCCTGGAGGCATCGTCCTGTTCAGGGACTACGGCCTGAACGACCACGCCATGCTCCGATTTAAAGCCGGCAGCAAGCTGGGGGAGAACTTCTACGTCCGCCAAGACGGCACAAGGTCCTACTTCTTCTCTAAAGGTCAGTAAGTGACTTCAGGGAAGTTGTTTTTAGGTTTGTGTCTTTGAGACTGAAGATAGATAGATAGATAGATAGATAGATAGATAGATGGAAAGGTAGATAGACTGATACATAAATACTATAGCTAGATGGATGGATGGATGGATACTGTATCCTTTACAGACCCCTTACTTTCTAATATACATCTTTTTGTAGTAGACATTTTGTAGAGCGTCCTCCTCCACTGTCCATAACAAAGGCAGCTAAAATGTTTCCAGACTCCTCAGTGTGTTTTTCAACTACAGTAACCATTTTTGATTTCAATGCTTGTTGGTCTGTTTTCCAAACATAAGTGCTGAGCTTACAACTAGCAGTAAGTAAGACAGCTACCCGCAAATTCTTGATTTAGTTATTCAACATTTCAATTGTGACTTATACAGCTGTTTGTACAGGAACTGCAACATGGGAAGGATGCAGACAAACAAGAGTCAGGCTCTATTAATATTTCTTGACTTTTTCATGACACAACAGAAAAAAACTCAACCTTCATTTTGCCTCGGTCCCTCGCTCTAAAGTCGCAGTTTGCTCTTTTCGTCTCCTTTCAGAGTTCCTGGCTGAGCTGTTTGAGGACACGGGCCTCCAGTCTGTTTCTAACGACTACGTCCTGAGAGAGACGGTCAACAAGAAGGAGGGGCTTTGTGTTCCCAGAGTGTTCCTGCAGAGTAAATTCACCAAGCCCGGGCGACCACAGAGCTCCTAATGTCATTCCGCCTGCGTCTGCCACCTTATGAATCTCCAAAGGTAGCAGAGAAAACTAAAGACTGAGAAATGATTATATTCTTTGGTGGAATCGGTAGTCTAAATGTTACCGAAGAGAGCTTGTGGCCTACACGCTGCTGGTTTGAATCCTCTGGAACATGAGGGAGGTGCAGGGGGGTAAGATTAATAATGCCCCCTCCCAATAATCAGCTGCTGTCTCTTGCCCTTTGGCTCACTGACACATTGAAGCTGCTCCTCCGCCAACAGACGGAGACAGTTCTTGGAAATATGTGGAACTATGAAGCACAAAAATGCCAACAGGGATACGATTGTTCAGCAAAGCCCTCAGCTGGATTTTAGTGGCTCAGATTAATTTAAACTTAATCAGCTTTTAACATCAACATGAGACATTTCTTGGCTTCTCTGTGAGCCCTCAGACATATTTCTCCTGTGAGCAAGCCAGTATTATGATTACCTCCAGTATAATTTCCCCTGATATTAAGTTCAAGAGATCATTTTTGAATGTGGTGAGTTTTTAATTTTGTATAAATTCCTTTTAATGTTTTTCACCGTTTTAGCCTGTCTATATTAAAAAGATTTGTTGCAATTGTGTCATTTCACTCTTAGTCTAAACTTGTTCAGGAGAAATTGCTCACTGTCTTACATTCTGATACTTTCTGCTGCTGGTCGTCTTCTTTGACAAACAGAAATTACACATTGTGCTTTTTAAATAGACAATTATTTTAGCATTCATCTCTTAATGTGATTGTTTACTGTATAGAAACAGATAGAGGGGTAGGCAAAACATTTCCCCAACCAGAATCAATAGGAGGCATTGTGGTTATATTGTTAATGGACTTGGATACAAGGACACGACCACATTGTGCAATTTCACTGTATATCAAAATATCAGACTTCCTCGTTGTCCAAAGAAGACATTCAAGACAAGCAATGTTACTCCATGTTGTGGTTCATTGTTAATTATCGGCTGATAATATTTCACATATATTAGCAAGAGCGTTACTGGATTAGAGTGTAATTTATTCATTACAGATGACACAGTCCCTAGATGTAAGATCCGGTTTAACAATACACAAGTCGTCCAGAGGAGTGCGTTGTTGACAAGTTAAAGTGTAGAGGAACCAAAATAACCTCCACCCACCAAAAGTGACTGTCACTGGTTTCAGATTGCATATAGCATAAAGCTCTGGTTAGACAGTCAATGCAAAAACTCATCCATATTAGATGTCCTGTTGTCAGTGTGTCACCATCCATGAGTCAGGATGGCTATTTATAAACTTCTGTATTATTAGTGTCTGTATTATCAGAGTCTGAAACTTTCCAGTTTCACTGGCTTTGTGACTGCCAGTGCTTTCTCAAATGTTTTGCTTCACACTGGCACAAAGTTTACTTTCTTGGAAGAGACATCCACTGGATATACGATGTTCTAAATGCTTGAGAATGAAAGCAAAAAAAGTCTTGCCACAAACATCCATCAGCAGGGTCCCGCATGAAGCACAGGATTTGACAACAATACAAGGCTGATCACATCTAAAAGTTCACATTTTTAATTTTTCCTTTGAAGCACAAACCCCAACCAGCAAAGGTTTCTACACAAAATCCTACAAGGATCCTCTGCTGATTAGAAAATGAGATTGCACAAAATTGATATTTTAAGATCATCTAGCCTATTTAGCATTATTTACTTTTTAACAACACACTAATATCGACCTGTAATAAAGCACGTAGAATATAGGTTTATAGCACTAAGTACATGGCACTGTTAAATGACACAACTGTGGTGTGAATCGGTTGAAGCGCTGTGCCGAGCATCTTGCACCATGCTCTACATATGGCTTCCTGTTCAGTGCGCACGTCCCCCGCTGTTAGCGTTTGGGGCGCACAGGGATAAAAGGTCTGAAAGTAGCACATAGAGAAACCTCCGTGGTCTCATTTATCAGTAACATCTACTGTGTGCTGTAAAGCTGCATTTATATGCTATATTAAAGGGAAATGTGTTTCTTAGTATTGTGGAAAAAGTAGATAATACCAGTAATCCTTTCATCAGTCATTTAACAATTACTGTTGTTATTTATGCACAAATCTCCAGAATTAACCACCAACAAGCACAAGAAAAATCTCAGCAACACACAGTGCACATCAAGTTGGTCTATTTTCTTCTTTGGTGTAGTTGTACATTTCAGCATATATCTGATCTGATAATGATCTCAGAGCACAGGAAACTAAATTTCTCTTTAAGGCATTTAATATTTTTGCCTCTTTTTTCATTGTCCTGCACGTTAACATTGATAAATCCAATCCATTCTTTAATTCTTTGTTTTATAGATGTAGTTGTTTGTGCAGGATGTGCAAAAATTTAAATCTGAACCAAATTTTGTGAATCCATTGAGCAGATGTTGAGATAATTTCAGGACCAAAGTGGTGGACAGACATGCTGCTATGGATGGGATGGATGTCGGTCTAAAAAATGATTATTCTATTAACAAACGTGACTTTTTCTGTTACCTCCCTACCTGGAAATCTGCAAACTTTTGTAAGAGCAGGGTCACAATGTTTATCAACCCAAATTCCATTTAACACAAAAAAAACACAACCTATGACCAACAGTAATACGTGACGTATGGTGTTCCTCTTTACTGTGTACTTTAAACACGATTTGATTTCGAAACCGATGCAGTTTCCTGTCCTGTGGTTTGGCGTCTTCAGCTCTCCATTAGTATGATGAACAGTTGTATATTAAAATGGAGTCACATCTGCAAGTTTATTCTGTATGAGTATGACAGAGCAATGCAGCTACAATCTCAGTTATCATGGCTTTTTAACAGCTGCAATCCGTGCTTGTATGCTGAATTCAGTTATTTTGTACAGAAAATAGCAAGTAACAGGCATGATATCCAACCAGATCTCAAAATAAATACAGCAACTGATTCTAATAAAGTAGGAAGTGCCATGCTTTGTGAGGATTATCAGCATTATATAAACTGCCAATCGCCATATAGTGTAGGCCTATTCTTGCTGTTGTTACTTTAACAGATGTGGCTTTGTCTAATGTAGTTGGGATTGCACGCCTCTGAAAATAAACACAGTGAGAAGGAAACCGTTTGAAAGCTGACTGCAGAGTGCAACAAACAAGTTGCAGTTGGTGTGGCTCTTCATATCATAACACAGTCAGCTTTGAGTTCACTGGTTTTTGAGCTGTGGGCTTTGTTCCCCAAAACAATCAACTGTCCATCGCCATGGCAATTGTATTTTAAGTATTGTTTTATGTTGACTTTGGGCACAGCACTAAATCATTTTGGCAATTCTGTCTTTGTCCCGAGGTAAATTCGGGGTGGACAATATGGATCAAATCCTGTATGAATTATAATATACATTTCTGCAAAATCAATTAATCCTGACAATGCAAAGTAATTCATTGCATTCACTGAAAAATCAAAAATACAATATTTACCATGCAATTCAACCTAATATGTACACGGCAATGTGGTTGACAAATTTATATTGTTTCACAATATGCTGTATATATATTGTCATATCATCACTCTCAATGTACCTACATGACATAAACATATGCAAATAGGATTTCATGTTCTAACAAACCTATTTAACCTCTATTATCAATATGAAATTATTTGTAGACTATTTCTTTTTTCTTCCCTATCTAAATATGATGAAGATGATCTTAAATAACTGGTACTGAGTGGGTTTTTATATGCCCAAAAGTCACCAACTAACATCTACATTGTAAGAAAAAGCAAAAACTGACAGCTGTGGTTGCCAGAACTTTATTGTAATAAATACGATAGAACTTTTATACTATTAAGGCAAAAGGATATTAGTATTGTTGATTTTACAGTTAAAGTTTTATTCCATATTTTACCTTATAAATATAATTTTTTACCAACAAGTGATTTTGCCACATGAAAATACCATATGAATTCTGTATAAAAAAGTTTTTGCCATGAGATAAGACTGTAATGTTACAGAAACTGTATATAACCTATTTGGAGTCTTCAGTCTTTTGCTGTCATGGTTTGACAGTGTTTCACCTGTAAAATCAAGGTCATATTGTAGAAATTGAATCTGCTTACCAAAGGCCATTAAAGCAGTTACAACAGATGATGAAAAATGATGTTCAATTTATTCTATTCACTTAGAATACAGCAAATATTTTTCTCAAGATGCTTTTGGAGAATGTAGCCTGGTGCAATCATCTTTCTTTTAATCCATTTTAATCCTTTGTGAAAGGAGCCGACTCGGTCAGATGATCAGTCTGCAAGAGAACATAACAGAGCAGAACAGGCATCAGTATGCATCATCAGTATAAAATGGCCTCTTTCCCACTGAGAGAAGTAACCAAGAAGGTAATATAAATGCTGCAGGCACGACAAAGAAAATAGTTATTTTTTTATTTTATCCTCAGGGGACCATAGATGTGTGTATAAAGTGTCATGGCAATCTGCTCTCTACTTTTTCAGATATTGTGTACCAAAGTGGACAACAGGGCTGGCTTAAAATTGTATATATATATATATATATATATATTTCTGTGGTTTGATGCCCTGTTTCAGATGCATTGCTTTTGTAAATCCCACAAAACTGTTCATGAGTCAAGGCAGTATACTTAAAGTAAGTTCAAAGAAAGGCAAGAAAAAAATATACTAATTTACAATAATGGGAGTTAATTTAATTTTCCCTTCTTGATCACCACAATACCTTTGACAGTGATCCAGATGAAATGTCCCATTGCTGTGTCACTGTCACATGAGGCCTTGCATTGAAATTCACCGTTGTCCTTTGGTGTCAGGTCCAGAATCTCTGTCACAACCTGTCTGCGTCTGTATGTCTCGTTTTCATCAGAGATTGTCTCGTTTACTGTGGTGAAGTACTTGCTGGGGTCTGTCAGCTCGGCACCTTGCTTACACCAAACAACCTTCAGCAGGCCGCATTTATTGAAGTCATAATGTGCCTCACATGATAGTTTGACCGATGAGCCTCTGGCAAGAGTGAGGGTTTTTTGTTTGTAAAAGACCTGTATGGTGTCATTCCCTAGAGCACAAAAGAAAACAATGTGAAAGAAAGAACTGTTACTAGACAGTTTCCACCTTGTTTTAGTCTTACAGTCATTGTTTTACTTTAAATAGTTTAGAGAAATTGTTCAACATTTTCACTTTCTTGCCAAGAGTTACATGAGAAGATTGATACCAGTCTCATATCTGACCGGTAAATATATGTTTACAGCCAGTAGCCAGTTATCTTAGCTTAGCTCAGTCCAAAGGTAGCAAAATACAACTACCAGCACCTCTAAAGGTTACTAATTAACTCATTAAATCTTGTATGTTTAATATGTACAGACTTGGAGAGTAACGGATTACATGTAACTTACAAAAAAGGTAACAGTTCACAGTTTTTTTGCAGGAATATAATTTTAAAATACATTTTAAAATAAATAATGACATTCGGTGCAGCATGCATGTTATAACACTTCATGAGACTCATCACCACTCTGGTCTGGAGTGAAACCATAGCTAATCTTACTGCTGCAAATTCAGTGTCAAGGCCTCCAATGAAACAATATTCTTTCAC